TATTGGCTGTTTGAGGGAATGATAATATTACCACTGCTTGCTCGAGTCTATTTCGATGTTTAATAGAGGCCGAAGCTAAAGTCAACCCTAAACAAAAAAACGTTATATGAGGTGAGTTTAAGTGAGATTTAATTACATTTTGAGGCCTTTGAGTTATTTAATTTAGGTAACTTTGCTCATCAATCCTGTATCATATCAAATAAGTCATAAAACATCTTGCTCTATTTCAAGATCTGGTGAGAGCCTTTAAGCTACTTAATTTTATAAACTAATTAAAAACTAAGATGTTATATTTTTTAAATTATAAAACATAAATAAAGACTCATAGCGTGTGAAGAACAGAAGCATGAATTACATTATTTAAGTGCTAGTCTTAACCAACCACTGATAATCAGTTTAGCTGAATTTCATTTAATTTCTAAGGCGCTTCCAAAATGCTGATAAACTCTCCAGCTGTGTTTCTAAAAAGCATATAATCCTTTGGATAGCTAATTGACTAGACCTTTCATATACTCATTTGGTTCCATTCCTACTTTAGGTTTAATTAAGTAAAACTAAAGAGACTGTCCCCTTATATTTTTATTTGACCTAATCAGGCTGCTTACTCGGATACAGTTTCACGGAATTCATATACTAATAAAATCCCCTCTTTCATTTCCTATAATTTTCTGAGAAACTAATACCCGATATATATTTTTTTATTATCTCCTATTGTCTATTTCGGTTAACATTTCTACCCATGGCTACGTTAATTTGTTATACATACTAAATAAGGCTATTTATTGCCTATTCAATAAAATAGCCCACGAATGAATTTTATATTAAATCTTATTTCATAATTCAAAATAGGTCCCCCATGAACCAGAGTCGACAAAACAATGAAAAGATATTCAGCTTATATAGCCTACAAATGCCGTTTTCAACCACGTTGGTCAAAAACAAAAATGAAAATTTTAAAATGGCCAGCATATTTTTACAGAGGTTGATGCAATGTAATTGGATTAAATTTAATATAAATATAGCTTGACATACCTTAGCCAGTTTAGGTATTTTATGAAGCGCGGCATTTTTAGCTCACCCATCTGATACTACTTTCGTCACTTGCAGCCTAATAGCGCCTAGTGGTTTCTCTTTAGCTCAGAATTCATGGAAGTTAGGTCGTGTAGCCAAGAAGCTAATGATAATTACGAATACGAGGATAATTTTGATTATAACGAACCGGATATTGATTTTGACTTTGAAAAGTTGGTTTCTGACATTACTAGCGATTTATCAAGGTCCAACTCCTCTATATCAGATCTTGAATCATTTAAATACAAAGAACTTGAATTAGAGGCTGTGGAGTGTCTCCTGAATGAGAGCGTTGATAGCCTGTGCAAGCTTATTGGCGTAAGTGAACCTCTCATACCTCCACCATAGCCTTGTAATTTAAAAAAGCTCTTGTACTATATTCATAGAGGTTATCATAACCTATTGATTTTTTATAGCTTCCTCCATCTATCTCTCGACTTCTGCTGCATTCACATTCATGGGACGTCTTGGCAGTGAAAAACGAATTTTCATTAGACCCTCTTCGCACTTTGGCTGATATTGGTATATTGCCTTCATATGGGA